GCCGCGAGAGGGGAAGAAGCCGCCGCCGGCCCCCCCCCCCCCCCCACCCACACCCCACACCCACACCCACACCCACACCCTAAATGTATTAGTAATGCATATCGAAATAATTCAAATATTCAACAACTAGCAAAGAATACTCTCGATAATAATAATCAACAAATAGAACAATTTACACCGTTTGTTAAAAGGTTAATTAATTACGATAAAACTCATCAATGATATATTCGATCATGTGTACATGGTACATATAATAGTGATATATTATTTTTCAATATTGGAGGAGAATATAGATATTGTGAAAAAAACAGCAGCACATCATAAATGAAACACAACAGCAATATTGTTGGATACTGTAAGAATGAAACATATAGTATTCGTTGTAAAGATCATGATTGTGATAATAAAATATTGATTTGGAAAAAAATCGAATAAAAATATTCTCTGTTTCATTAATAAGAGAAGATATAGCAAAGTAATTTTTAAGCTTGAATATTAAAATAAATCATTTTTGTTTTCAAAGATAGGTGTTATAAATTAGATGTTTATAATGACTAAGACTATTCACAATAGAAAATTTAGGAAAGTAAATTTTTGATAATTCTGTAGAATAATTAATAAAAAAAATGCTTCGTTATTGATGCTAATGAATTTCTCGCAATCTAATGGTTTTTCGCGCTGAAAAGATTATGATTGAGATAAATTGTTTTCGTTAGTATTATCATAAAATCATTGATCTTAATATATTGTATACGATGCAATAGGAGAATGTTATCAAAATTCAACAAAAAATCAAGAATTTTCTGCCAATAGTATGTGACAACGAAACTTGTCAAAAGCTCGGGACAATGAAATAAATGTTGAAAATATACTGGATCGTCCATTTAAATTATTACTCGAAGTGTTAAATGGTTTTAAATTGTTAAATGATACTGATCCAGCTGGTTTGCTATTATCTTTATTTGCTTCAGTCGGTCACTTTGCTGGTGAGTCGACTGTGAGAATACGAAATCATACTAGCAATTTAAATATTTTTTTGTTACTAATTGGTCCATCTGGTATGTGTTGTTTGAGTTGAGTGAAATTTGTTTGAAATAATATTTTAGGCAGTGGAAAGACGAAAATTGTTGCACCAATAAAGAATAGTATTATAAATACCATCAAGTCCTTAGGTATATCAGAAGATCAAAGTGCTATTATGGATGATTTTACTACGGCTTCATTGTCAGCTAAATTGGCAAAATCGAACGTTTTTATTGTTACTGATGAAGCCGAAAAACCACTATTAGAAATGGGCTTGTATTCACCATCATCCGAAATTAGTGCTAGTGATCGTATATCCGGCTATAAATATTACGGTAGCATGCCGACTAGCACCGATCCAATGACGTATCACTTAGAGATTAGTTGTCATTTGTCGTTTGTTGGTGCAACAATAGGTCGACTGTGGCACCGTCTAATCAACTATTATGCACAAGGACATCAAAGTAATGGATTGTCAGAACGGTCAGTTTTTTTATTTTGCAATCATATTCATTATTTTCTGTTACGACCAGTAAACTTACATGAATCATGACTTGAAATAATACTAAAAATATATCAATACGTGATAATAAGACTTAGTTAAGAAATAATTTTCGCGATGAGACAAAACCAAACTTCGAAATTTTTATACATCTATAACTGTTTATGATATTGAACAAGGATTTGCATTGAGAAAATAAATTATAAGATAGGATAAAGTAATGTAAAATAGATGGAATGGTAAGAACATGAGATGCTATGTAGATATGGGATGAAAACAAATTGTTTGAATTCATAAAAATTTACGTTTATGCGTTACCGAAATATTTGTACGTTACATTATATTTTATTAATAGCTCGCTCATTTTCAAGATATCTAAATTTTCTTTTCACCAAAAGATTGTCCTAATTCTCAGCTACAGAATCTTCTCTCACAAAAAATCATTATTACGAATAAGTTTGCAAGATTTATCACTTCTTTCGTATCTACTGAGAGCCGAGGGTCTTTTTTGTCTGTACGTTACCGACCAGCATTTTACTCATAAAATTCAAATGACTCGACGATTAAGGCTCAAATTTTCAGATGTTATAGAATTTATCTACTTATATATTTGTTAAAAATTACAAGTATCTCTCTCTTACTGTTCTCTAGATACTTTCGTTCCAAGTTGAAAAAAAAGGTCTGTATGTTACCTGCGTTTTATATGTTAGGGAACGTCAATAGGAATAGACTAGGCACGATTTTTTCAATATAATCATCAAAGCTCTTCACATGAAGCCTCATGCAAAACAGCATAAGACCTTTCATCAAAAAATATAGTATTCAATATACCATTTATTTCCTAGAAAAATTTGGCTCTAGTTTAGTCCTGCTGTAGTTCCCAATTTTCTTTTCTGAGCTCATCAGCTATACGTCGATGTTATATTCATAATAATAAGCATGCTCTTGATTTAAGTGACAACTAGCTTGTAGAGAAAACAATTCTCTAAAAATATACAGTATTCAAAAATAATTCACACATCACATCACCTATGCAAATAAAAGTATACGATAAACTTTATAGAACATCGGTATAGATTATATGTCTAGAAGAAGTTACTATCTTCACTTTATACGATTAAAATATATAATAAAACACAGTTTCTAATACAGTTTTTCACGCTCTTTTACATGATATCTTGGAAATGAAAAAATCAGTTTAAAACTAATATAAAATCTGTTCTTTTATCACGTTTCCTTAGTATATCATCAGTATGTTCTACTAACTACTTCTAATCGACTATTTTTAAAAGAGATGAAAAATAAAAATAAAAATTTGCTCAGAGTGTAGATAAAAGGTGTGCTCTTTCCAATGGTCTGTTATAAAGAAAATTTTGAAGTTAAAATAATGCCGTACATAATCATAAAAATAAGTTTTTGTTTTGGAAACACATCTTAAAGACATACTACATAAAGTATAAAACCAACTAATACACCTTCTAAGATCCACCAGCATTTCTTTTGATCTGAATTT